TGCATTGGTTTGGTTTTGTGCACGCAGGAGAGATTCTTCGCGTTCATCCTGTAACAGATGGAGGCACGGGGTACTTCCGAACAGTCAGCTCACACTTTGGGCTTCAGTGACCAGGACTGGGGTCCAGATTAACAGTGGTCCCTTGCATACTTGCACTTATGCAAAGAAAGAGAACCTGTTTAAAAAGTTGAGATGGGTGTTCTTGCAGTGGTTTTCCCCCCCCCTTGTTAGTGTGCATGGGGGGGGCCCTGCCAGGTGGCTCCCTTTTCCTGAGGAGTATTGCCAGCCATATAATGGAAGTGCAACATCGGTTCAATTGATTTCAAGCAAAGAAGGTTAGTTTTTTTTTAAAAGGTTATTCATTTAGTACGAACTTTCAAACTCGTTAGATTTTTTTTGTCACGCTGGGCGTCGTCCCCTGGTGTGGGAGGAGCTTCAGCCGTGTCGGCGTTGATCCCTCGGGGGAAGCCAGAGCCTCAGACTTGAAGTGGGGAGAGAGTTGCGTCACTCCCTAGCCACCACTCCTCGGGGTTGACAGCTGCTTTAGTAACTCTCGCTCTCTCTGCACCTAAGCCCGTCACCTACGACATCCTCCCCGGCTCTATAGGCTTCCCCCTTTTTATATCCCTTCACCCGGGGAAAGTCCTCCCCTTTTCCTCCCTGGCTTCTGATAGGGCAGGCTCCCTGTCACTTCTTCCTGTCCCACCCCCCTGGTTGGGCTGCCTGGGCGTCTCCGAGGGTGTGGCCATTTCCGGGGAATCCCCCGGGGTTCCTCGTGCGACCGAACGAGCGTGTCGGCTCCTGTCAGCTTGGGTAAGCCCCATCTCTCCCTGCTCCCCTGCCTCCGCGCCCTCCCTCCTGTTCTCCGCACGTCCTGGAATAGCCCTCCTTCTCCTGAGCCTTTCTCCGGCTTGCCGTCCGTCTCTACCTCTTCGGAACTGTTCTCCGAAAGGTCTTCGCTCTCCGGGGCTTGTGGAGGCATCGGCGTGGGACATTTTTTTTTAAAGAAAGGAAGTGATCCTCTGCAGAGACGGCAAGCGAAACCCGGCTCTCTTTTCTTGCTAGGCGGCGGACTTCCGTGCGAACATCGAGAAATTCATTGATTCTCGGACTGACAATTTGCGTGATATGAAAGGCGGAGAGTTCTGGCCCATCGTGAAATGTGTGAAGATCCGGGTCGCCCAAGCAGAGGCCTTGAAGACGGGCGTGGTGCTGGTGGACCTGCCAGGAATCCGGGACTCCAATGCAGCCAGGGACAATGCGGCCAAAGAGGTAGGACGGAATCCCTTTTTTTTGGGGGGGGGGCGGCTGGGCCTGTATTAGTCTCCCCTCAGAGGTCCTGTGGCTTTTGTCCTAGTAGCGTGTTTTATATTTCCATGCACAAGCCCCGCACGACTTTGCAGCCAGGCCCTCGCCTCTGTCCTGTGGCTGCCTCCTATTTTTCTTTAACGCAAGGGGTGGTCTTGCCCTCCAGTACCTAAAGAACTGCAACGCGGTGTGGGTCGTTGCCAGCATCACGCGGGCCGTGGACGACAAGACTGCCAAGGAGATCCTGAACAGCAACCTGCGCAGGCAGCTCTTCATGGACGGCCTGTATGGGAACCTGGCCTTCGTCTGCACCAAGACGGACAGCTTTAACATCTCGGACATAGTCAGGTAACCTCCGTTTCTGCCAGCAGGGGGCAGCTGCGTGCAGGGGGTGGGTAGCAAGAAGGATTTATACCCCACCAAGGTCTCCCAATTAAGACACTCTCCACAATGCACTTTGGCAGTGATAGTTTATTGAGATATGCTTACTTTGGGAAAGAAGCTCTGTGTCAGAACCGGAAAAAGGTGCACAAAAGCCCCTGTTATAGATAATACAAAATACACCCCACACCTCTTGCATACGTCACTATTCAGCCCCTACAGTTACTGTGGCAACTCTGACAGATGTATATGGCGCCTTATCTGTGTTCAGGCTTGTCAAGAGAGTCTCCAAGGCCAGCTCCTTGGGAACCGGTGATGGGGCACAACCTTAAGGAAAGTTATGGCTTCTTCAAGCACTCACTCAAAACACCCATTCAGTTCCCTCCCCCTATATCCATGGCAGGCATTGCAGAGAAACATCGTGAAATGAAACCAATGTGGGGAATCAAACCTGGTTCTCCCAGAGTAGAGCCCGCACTCCTAACCACGACAGCGAGAGGCATTTTCACCCTTCCTTTCCTCAACAGCTGCACCCCATGTAGCTCTCACAGGCCAGGATGAGGCGCTGTGTCTGCGTGGAGTCGGGCCTGAAGCTCCCAGGACCGGTGGGAGAACAGTTCGCCTTGCTTCACTGGAAAGCAAGCGGAGGGTCTGAGAGCGGGTGGTGGTTGATGGGAAGGGCAGAGCTGGGCTCCGTTTGCCAAGCAGAGGATGTTCTTTTTAGGTGCCTTGGAGAGAAAGCCCTGTTTGGTAGCCGGGGATTCTCTCGTGCCACCCGGCACTACAGACAGGCTAGCCGCTACACTTGAGTCCTTTAAGCACATTTCTAAAAATGCTCAGGGCTGCTTGAATCCCGCAGGGACCTGGACCTGAGAGAGGAGATCCAGCCCTTGGAAGAAGAACTGGAAGAGCTGGAAGGCCAGAGGATGCAGGCGGAAGAGGAGAAGGGGACCCTCCACATGGCTCTGCACCTGGAGGTACGAAGGAAGTCCTCCAAGTGACCCCCGCTTCCCTCGGCCCTGCTGCCAGGCAGTGGGTCCTCTCCTTGGGAATGGGCTTGGCTCAGCAGTTGCTTTACCCTTCTGAGCCGTAGGCAAAAGCATCTTTGATCCTGCCTCCGGCACAAGTGGCAAAACAGTGAATCTGAACTAAGAGGAGCAGGTGGGGGAGGTTCCTTTGGTTCACGCCCCCTGGCTTGCTCCTCCAAGTCCTCTCAAACGGGGAGGGGGGGCTCCAAGTCATTTTCCCCTCCTCTGAACAATTTTATTAAAGGTTAAGCATACAAAAACAAACCAGTAAATAACTGCATATAACCAAATAGCAAAGAGATAACTGTAGGAACAGTAACAATACATTAGAGTACTTATATTACGTACAATATTTGTTACAGTTCTTATTGTAACGTCGTAATATCATACCCAATATAAACCATTAATCACTGATGGAATTTCGTCCTGTGGTTTTAGATATTCTAAAACAGGAAACCACACCGAAAATAAATGTTTTGTCTTTATCAGAGAGAGTGGTTTGTAATGATGGAGTAAAGGAGGCTCCAAGGTCATTGGGGCAAGCAGTGTGGGGGTGCAGCAGGTGATCACTAACTCAGCTTAGAGAGAACTCTGGTGCTGACGTGGGTTGCGCGTGGCTAGCTCAGCTGTGCCGCTCGGAATAAACGAGCCCTTTGAGCATCTTGTTTCCATTGGATTCGCTTCCGGAAACTTAACCTTCTGCAACCTACGTGAATTAAGCCGATGGGGCAGGGTTTCTGCCGCTTTCCTTCCTGTGGAGAGGAGCAGAGAGCAGCTCTGGCCCCCCAGCCCCCGGGATTCTTTCCCAGCTGCTTTTCTGGAGTCTCAGATGTTTCCAGGCATCTTTTTCGAGGCCTGAAGAACTGGAAACTGATGCAGCTGAGTGCGCTTTGCGGAAGCCCAGCATGCACGCAGTTCTGGATGGAGCTGCTGCTTTGGCAAAACTGCAGGCCGGTTGTGCTTTGATGCCCAACAGACCCAGGATCTCTTTGTGGAATTACTTTGTGGGTATCAGTTCTGAAGGTCCCGTCCCCTCACCACCATGTGCTGCAATTTCTCTTGGTGCTGGACAGCACTCCTGCAGGTCAAGGGGCCAGGAGCATCCAGCCAGGCCACTGCCTTAGTCAGCTGGTGGTGCAGTCGGTCAAGGGCTGCTGTGCCTGCCGCTTTGTTGCAAGTGATGTGGTGGTGTGTTTTGTTGCTTGACAGCAGAGGCCGGGAGTTGAGGCCGCGGACCCAGCCTGGCTACAGAAGCAGCACGACTTCCTGGAGAAGGAGTTCCGGGTAAGCCGTCCTCTCCCCTCCCTCGCTCCTTTGGAAAGACTCGGGGTTCCTCCCTCCCTCCAGCCTCCTCAGCCCGCCTGTGTCCTTCTTCCCCCTGTAGCTCAGTGCCCTGCAGAAGCAGAAGGAGGCCAAGCTGCGTGCCATCGGTCTCATCTGCGTTCAGGCCCGGAATAGGTTCTCCAAGCAGCGGATCCGGATGGATTTCAACACCGGCCTGGAGGTAGGGGCGTGGCTTGGTTGGGGCTGACATGGCAGGGTGGGAAGAAGTCCAGAAGAGGGCACCCGAGACGGTCAAGGGGTTGGGGGGTACCTTTCCCAAGAAGGAAGGCCGAAGAATCTGTGCCTGTTCTGTGTAGGGGGGAAAGACATCTGGGGATGGCTCCCGAAAGAGAACATCAGAGAAGCCAATGTTGGGTCAAGCCAAAGGCCCATCCAGTCCAACACTCCTGTGTCACGCAGTAGCCAAAAATACCAGGTGCCCTCAGGAGGTCCAGCAGTGGGGCCAGGGCATTAGAAGCCCCCCCCCACTGTTGCCCCCCCCCCC